ATAGCTTACCCTAAGCACACAGCAAAGGAAAGCCGACCTAATGAAACATCTTGGGGCCCTCAAGAGTCACATTAGGCCCAGTTAGCTTGATCAGAGCTATTCCATCGTAATTCAATTCCAAAATTCAATTGCACCGTGACACAAATTCCATAAATCCAAAAACATGGTAATCATATACCAGTTCAAAACAAAAATTAGATAGCAGCCATATTCCATAAATTGTCACATTAAATTGGTGCATCAATAAAACAATAACCAATGAATTCGGTGTACCACATATTAAAACCAATAAAACAGTTCAGTAATAAGTAGGGAACACACTAGAGAATCCCAGTATTTCCAGAGGCCATTGTAGTTATCATTTTGGATAACATGAAACTTATGAAATTTGATCGAATTCCTGGAACAAGGTTCTATTGAGGAGAATCGATTACTAACCGATCTAGCCAGACATTTAATGTTGATACATTAGAATCCCACTATATTTTCGTGTGCTTTAGGAAAACGTTCAGGAACCTTTATACATAATAATTCTAAATTCAGATTTACTGCGAGTGATTCCATTACCCAAACAATCAGGGGTATTCATGAATATACTTTAAATTCATAGGATTTCAGCCCAATTGAACCAAATGGGATATTCAGAATCTTTTCCATCTGCGTTACTTGTTTTTTTTTTCAAACATGACCGAAGTGATTTTAGATGAAATATAGAATCGAAGATTCAAGTCATTTACAATCTACGACTATCGATCATATTATCAAACAACTCGAGTTACACAACTCTCAAACTGATGCATGTCAACAAGTCAATTCATTATCCTTCCAGTGTATTCACTCTTTAATACCATAGTGCAGATCCATAGATCATCCCCATAATCATCACTGAATAAATCTTCCAACGGTCTTTATTTCATTTCCACGTTTCAACAATATCAGGAAATACTGACGTACTTGATCCATGGCTCATAACCCATAATGACAATTCATCATGTAAGTTCAACAGTGTTTCCAAACTCATCAAATCACCTATTTAATCCTTAGTCATTGATGTTACTTAGTTCGTTTGGTAAGCAAGTCTATCCCGATTACTTTAAAGTTTTCCAGAATAATTCAGACGTTTCTGAATTTCAAATACACGTTGTACTTCATTTCATTTCAACTTATTAATATAATAAAGTCATTCTGGTATTCGTGGTTGATTTGACTAACGACTACCCACTTATTAGTACTGTATGCGCTCTAGAGTTGAGCTGCGCCAAGTACTTCCAGAATTATCATCGATCCAAATTTGAGAAGATGAACAAACATTCAAGTGATACTTATATCATTCAGGTAATGATATAGTACTAACGTTGGTTAATCACTTAAGTTGCGTTCCACAACTTTTACTGGTAGCACAACATCCATGTTTATTTGGATTTCTTAATTAATCCAAGACATTTACTTATTCTAGGTCATAAGGGTATTTTGGTCATTTTGGTGCTTAACATTTTTTCTATTCATTTCAAAGCTTGAGTATATCCATTCATTCCTGAGCTTGGTGACATTCTTGAGTCATTTCCATTCCAGGGGTAATTTGGTCATTTTATAATTCTAGAATATTTCAATCATTTCCTTCCATCCGGTCTTATTATTTAATTCAATCTTATCATTTACTTCAGTCCTTTCGAACAATTCTGTCAGCAGAATACCTCCAATAAATTACTCTTCAAGTATTTACTCCTTATTCGAATATTTTCGGGTCAAGTGTCTTCTCAGATTTTACAAAAGGAATATTATAAATTTTTCTGTACAAAGACAGGATCTTAACAATTAAATTCGTACTTAATCGAGTTAAGTACAAATCCTCAAAGTACTCTCTCATTCAGGGTCAATTCAGACTATTTTATCTCTCAAGGGCATTTTCGTAATTTCTTAACCAAATAATTTCAATATTAGCACTTAACGAAAATAATTATAATTTAGAGATCCTATGATCAATTGCTTTCCCGAACATTCTTTGATTTTGAAATGATTCCTTCACAAACTCTCATAGGATTAAAACCGGTTATCCATAATTTCCAAATAAAACTAACATTTCTTATGCACATCAGTAGTTATATCGGATCAATATGTCTTTTCAGAGTTATTAACCAACTTCCAGGGGCAATTCTTATCATTTTCCAATATAAGGGTAATTTCGTAATTTTACCATATCGGAGTATTCTCATAATTTTTCATCCAAGTATCTTTAACATTTAACCCTTGATGATATAAAATATAAGTTACAAATCCAGAGCTGATTTCTTTATCACCAATCACAAACTTGTAATTTAATTCTAACAATTATCAATCTCTTATCTTAGTCATTCGATCCGTATTCAGTTACAGAATTTCTACCACATTCATATCGAGTGAGTAAATTATTCAACTCCACAAAAGTGACCAACATTATCTTATTCATGCATTTACCAATATCAACATGTTCCATAAAGCATAAAGAGGTAGTAAAGTATTACCTCGATTTCCGTGCAATACTGATCGACCATAAAAATTCCATTCGAACGCCTTTGATCTTCAATTCAACTTCCAATAATTCCTCAGATACATATCAACATAAATTATATCAGAAACGGAGCTTAATTGCGATAAACGGATCGAATCGGGTGATAAATTAGTCAAAAATAGCTTACCGGGTTCGAATTTGGCAAAACCGACTTCGGATTCGGATTCAAGACGTCGAAAGCATAAAGTATGACTTTTCGAAAATTTGGAATTTTCGGTCAAAATCAAAGTCAACGGGTTTGACCGGCAATATCGAGGCCTTCGGGTCCGAATTTTGGAAAACGGATTACGAAATCGGATTTGGAACGTCGAAAACTATCAAGATAGGTATACTCGGTCGAAGTCAAAGGTCGTTTAATGCCCGGTCAAAGCTGGTCAACGTTTTGGTTAACTGTAGTCAACGTCAGTCAACGGTGGTCAACAGTAAACGGCTCGATCTAGGCGGCTCGGCTTGGCTCAGCTCAAACGGCTCGGCTCAGCTCAAACGGCTCGGCTTAAACGGCTCGGCTCAGCTCAAGCGGCTCGGCTCAAACGGCTCCTCAGGCTTCCAGACGAAGCCCATTCTCAGGTGGTGGCGCGTGCGGCGCGTGAACAGTAACCCCGTGTCGGAAAATTCCCGAAAAAATTCCTAAAAATTATTTTAAGCGATTTTGAGGCACTTACAAAGATCGGTTCACAATTTTGAACGGCGGAGAGCTCGATTCCAAAACGTCGGAAACTTTGATCGCTTCACCTCCTCACGCGCCGCCGTCGACGGAGACCAAGGATGACACCGACAGACTCGGAACGATGTAAGGAACGCGATGGTGCGGGAGGTGTCGTAAACGGATTACCCGATCATCGTGAATCGATGAAAAACCAACTAAAATCGAGTTATTACCGACGATACTTTCGACTGAAATTAATGACGAACGACAATGATTCACGACGAAAGGTTTGAGGGGTTTTGTTCCTCGGTTGACAACGAACACGATGGTGGTTTCGGTTCGTCGATCGGAGGTCGGACGGCGAGTAGATCGGAGTTGAAAAAGAGGTTGAGGGGAAGAGGAAAACTGGAATTTTCCAAAAAAATATGCGTCTGATGGGGGTTTATAATATCTCAAAAAGAAAAATGGGTAAACCATAAGTTTAGCCACTGAATTTTCTGCCCTTTATAACATGGTCTTCCAACTTTGAAATTTTGCAATTTAATCCTCATTTTCTTCCAATATACCAATTAAATTTACCATATTATAATTTCTTAAAATTTAGCCCCTAAATTGGGGTGTTACAGGTCCACCAACTTTACGTTGTTGGTTTGTTAAGTACTTTAACTATTAAAAGTTACAAAAGAATTCTCTGACTATAAGATTTTTTTGGTCAAGTCCCCCGACTATTAAAAGTTACAAAATCTCATCGGACTATTCATATGTTTCAAAAACGTTATTCTCCGTTAAAAATTGATGTATGTTTGAGTTAAACGTTAACCTATTAACTGAGATATGATAAAATCATATTTGAATGGCGTCTATTGGTATTGTCGTTGTTTTCAAACACTGACTTGCCATCATAATGTTTCAAGCACTGGTTCAGAGACATAATGTAAACATAGATTCGATCCACATAGTACAACTAAAATGATTATGTGATAAAATTTTATTATATCCCAATCAAAAAGTTAATGTCCATCTCAGACGACTGTTATTTTTTTAACAGAAAATGATGAGTTTAAAACATATTAATAGTCATGTGATCATTTTGTAGCTTTTAATAGTCAAAGGACTCAACACTATAGTAGTGGGACCATTTTATAACTTTTAATACTTAAGGGACTCAACAAAGCAACTCCCTATAATTGGGGGACCACTTATGTACTTTACCCTTTAAATTACACCTGATAATTATTTGGTCGTTTAAATCACAATCTTTTTACTAGTTAACTCTAATTTTATTTGATTAAACCTTAAATCAAACTCATGAACACTTCCACAAAAAATACACAATCTTATTCGTATGGACGAAGCTATGCTTTATCATGGACCAGTACCGCCTCCCAATTTTTTTTATTATTAAAGAATATATACGGATATATACATACTTAGACCCCTTAATTTTAATTTATTTTGATTTGTTCTTCATTTTTTCGTTAATTACATTCTATCTTCCTTAACTTGATATCCTGGCTTCGTGTGTAACAACTCCTAATAATTTATGGAAAACTAACTAAAACCCACACAAGAAATGAAAAAATCCAAAGGGTTTAGAAAAGCATAACTTTTTTTTGGAAACTATTCTCCACCTAAATAGATTCTTTTCTCCGCATGCATGAAATCTTCAATCTTTCCAAGGGCATTGCTTCATGCCTAGGGTTTTCCAATGCAAGATACTCTCCCTATAGGGCAAGTTTCATTGCTTTTGGGGTTCACATAATTCCTTATAAAACCCTCTGTTTTAGCCTCAATTGCCATACAAAACACAATCTTGTAAAGAAAGAAGAACAATATGGGCCAAAGCACATCATCTTCTGGCAATTCTCTTTAATTTCCTTATGATATTATGAATATATTTGATTAGTCCCCGATGAATACAAATTAGCATCTGTTCGAAAACTCTTAATCATTTAATGATAAACACTCATATGTCCCTGCAAAAGATGTGTTCGAACCTATATGATATATATATATATATATATATATTACTTTCATTCTTGCAATTCATACCTATCTGATCATTTTCTTGTCAATGGATGCAGGGAGCACAAAGCGTAAGGATTTTGATTCTGTCATAGAAAAATGTTACAAAACTTATTTTAAAGAAGAGAAAGATTGGACCTTAGCTAAGTTTTATCGAGCAGTGTGCGAAACCGTCGAGTAAGTTTATGAGTTTGAATCCTCTTTAAACGTACAATATCTTTTGATTTATTTAGTTCGACGTTTATATATGTATATAACATTTTTTGCTATGGTGTTTTTGACAGAGAAATCAACAAAAAGCTTGGAAGCACTCAATTGAGTATACCAAAAACCACAACGCTCGAGCTTGCCTACGTGGTTAGTGTTTGAGTTCCTCCTCTTACTCTAATGCATGTGAATCAATTAAGTTTTAACACGGGAGACACCAGGACAGACGCATGATTTTGTATCAGGAGTACGGATCTTTAAGAATTATATTATAAATTTAAGTGGTGCAAAATTATATCATTAAAAGGAAATATAAAAGAAATACTAGTTGTGAGCATTTGACCTAGTTTGAGTTAACGAGTTCCATTTTATAACTCAGACTTTATATGATTTTTTTTATTCTAGTCGAGTTCGTGAAATTCGAGTCAAGTCGAGTTGTTCGAGTTTCTATTTAAATTAATTGTAAATATTTAGAGTTAATTGCATCATATGTCCCCAAGCTATGATCCTCATCTTAAATTGGTCTATGAGCTTTTAAATACTCTAATTTCATCCCCAAACCATGGTATCCATGTTAAATTAATCCTTAAACTTTTGGACATTCCAATTTCATCCTTAAACTATGTCTCTCATTCTAAATTGGTCCCCAAACTTCTAAATATTTCAATTTCATCCCCAAATTTATCCAAATATATAATTAATTTTAACTGTAGTTTAACCTGAAGTTTTATTTTTTTCAAACATATATTGGTACAGCATGGTCTAAATATTTTATTAACGGAGAATGTGATTAGTGTATACATATAGTTTGGGATGAAATTGAAATGTTGAAACAAGTTTTGGGACCAATTTAGAACAAAGGATATAGTTTGGGGATGAAAATAAAATGTTCAAAAGTTTAAGGATTAATTTATAATGAAAGTCATAGTTTAGAGATGAAATTGAAATATTTAAAATTTGAAGAACCAACTTAAAAAGAGAATCATAGTTTAAAGGCATATGGTGCAATAACTCAAATATGTACAATGTTAAGGTACTAACTAATTTTAATTCAAACATGTTAATTATCCAAAAAAAAAATTAATTCAAACAGCTCTTTATAACTAAATACAACATACATATATATTTTTTTATCTCTTTCATATGATATAAATATATCATGTAGAGTTGTGAGACGCAACTCTGAACTCATTATTCGATTTGTTCAAGTCCTATTTTATATTTCAAACTTTATTTGAAACATTTTCAAACTGAATCGAGTTATTCGAATGTTGTGTGTGGTACAGAGATACAAGGATGCTGCGGAGGGAGAATTATCAAAGGATGAGTTTCAAGAGATACTGCAGGAAGTGCTTATTGAGAGTGGATTTTCAGGGATTGGAGCCAAAGACATTTTAATGTACCTATTTGGGGTGCCTATCACTGCCTTGATGCTCAAGCGGCAGGCAAACCTCAAAATCCACGACGATATCTTTATCCCCGCCGTCACCTCCGCCACCGTCTTCCTCCTTGCTAAACTCAATAAAATTTGAAACATTTGTATTTCATGAACACAGAAAAACCTCTCCTTTCTGTCTGGTTTATTTGGTCAATGCTTCACTTTAATGGGTAAACTACGCATTTAGTATATAACTATAAGTTTTGGTTCGTTTTCATTTGAACCTACTAATAATATCTCAATAGGAGTCAATTTATGTTAAAGTGATGTGACTGAACCTCAAATATCAACATGGTATAAGAACTAAAACCAAAATTAGACCAAAATAAAACCGGATAAATTACACGTTAAGTATTTAAACTATCAATTGTGGTCCGTTTTAATACCTAAACTTTCAATTTTTTCAAAACCATATATAACGTTTAGTTTTCATTTCACATAAGGTAATTCTTTAGTTAATCGTGAAATAGAAATAAGGAACGTACAACACATTTTTAATGATACAACCAGGACTTAAGGCAAAAGAGCCAGTGTGGGTGACAGACGCTCATTTACCATTAGGAAGGTACACAAACCGAGAATTCAAGCTACAAGGAACATGATCAATCAAATTATGAAAATCAGAACAGATGTGATCAGTGGCACCAGAGTCCAAAATCCAAGTAGAAGAATAATTGACAGACAAACAACAAGAAACAATACCTGTCATATTATTAGCAGCAGCATCCTGAGGGGAGCCTTTGTGTAGAAGTTTCAATATCTGCTGATACTGAGCCTGAGTGAAACTAGGAGTAGCAACAGATCCTTGTGAAGGCAAAGTAGGCTCACTGGCAGAACCTTGTGAGGAAGAATCAATGAAAGCTGCTGAAGAATCATTTCGTTTTGTAAATTTGAAATCATGAGGGAAACCAATGAGGCGATAACATTGATCTTTCTGATGCCCGTTAACTTTGTAGTGATCGCAAACGCCATTGAATCGTCGACAAGATCCAATGGAGGTATTAGAATAGAAAGATGTAGAATCTGCCAATGAAGAAGTCGTGGTGAGATGAATCCGGTGAGACTCTTCTTGCAATATCATCGAATAAGCTTGATTTACTGAGGGCAGAGGTTGAAGAAGTAAGAACTGCTTCGAATAGCGGAGCAAGTATCATTAAGACCCATCAAAAATTGAAACAACCTCTGTTGAAGAATATGCTGTAAATTGCGTTGTGATTCAGGACAAGTACATGTAGAGAAAGGAACTAAAGCGCTGTGTTCGTCCCATAAGAGCTTCAACTTAGTCAAATAAGAAGAAATAGAAAGATCGCCCTGAACAAACGTCTCAATTTCTCGTTGTAGAAAAAAATCCGAGATCCATCAATCTTATCATACCGTTCATGAAGATCTTGCCAAACCAGAGCAGCGCTGGAAGCAAAGACTATACCAGCAGATAACTCCCTACTAACCGTATTAAGAATCCAGGAGAGTACAATGGCGTTGCAACGATCCCATTGTGAGTGCAAAGATTCTTCAAAATCCTCACGTTTACAAGAACCATCAACAAAACCTAATTTGTTTTTTTACTAGAAGCGCAATCTTCAACGAGCGACTCCAAACGCTGAAATTCTCTATACCAGTGAGTTGATGAGAGACAAGAATGGAGACAAGATTCCTTTACCACGAATAAATACTTAAACCAAACCCCCGTCTCAAGCAATAAGAACAATTCCTTTACCACGAATATCAATCCCGTCTCAATAAAAAACAATAATTTTTTTACTACGAATACCACTCAAAGCGAACTTACATCAAACTTCAAATAAAGAACAAATGAACCTTTTCATGTAGACAAGATTCGTTGATGTTTCAATAAGAAATATCGTTTTAAATTAAATTAGTACTTATTTTATAAATATGAGATATATACAAGTTAATATATATTCAAAAATTCTCAATCATTTAACGATAAATATTCATATTTCTAGTGTATGCGAAGCTTAAACCAAAGACCTTAAAGGATAATGAGTCTCTTAACTATTGAAGTCGTTTGATTTATGCAATTTAAATACGTATTAGATGTCGAATAATCCTTTACTATTTCTCTTATAATATAAACTTCCTCTTTATTAAAACGAACTTTCACCTTGATGGCCATTTCATGTAGGCTTGATTTGTTAATGTATAGATAAGAAATATCATTTTTTTTAATAAATTTGATGATCACCAGATCAAAGGAGATTGGATGGGGATAATCGTCCTTTAAAAATTTAAATTATTACGTATTTTAGGGTAAATTATACATTTAGTATCTAAATTATTAGGTTTGGTTTGTTTTATTACCTAAACTTTTAATTTTTTTTCAGAATTATACCCAACGTTTAGTTTTTATTTCGCTTTAGTACTTCGTCGTTAAAAACTTAACGAACGAGCTAGCGGCGCATATCTCCAGTCAACGAACCATCAATCCGAACGGTGGACCACGCGAGAATGATGATTCGAATAATATAGTCCAATTTCAGGCCCATCAAACGGTTGATGACGAAGATCGAAATATGAAGAAATCGAAGATTCCATCATCGATTTGAAAAGATCGAAGTGTATTCCGGTGAAACGGAGGCCGGAATCATGTTCAAAGGGGTTAAAAAAGTTGCGAGCTAGAAAGTTTAGCCTTCATCGATTGACGGATGATACATACGAGGGTTGTCGTCCGTTAAGTTTTTAATGGCAGAGTATTAAAATGAAATAAAAACAAAGCGTTATGTATGATTTTAAAAGTATTAAAATCTATTAGGTTGACATTGTTTATCCCTTTGTAGCTAAGATTCATCAAAAGAAAAGGTTTCCCTTCCTTTAAATGCTAAAATTGTTAAATATCATTTTTGGGGGGGGGGGGGGTGAACAGTCAAATGATAAGCGGAAATGTAAGTATAGTATCGTATGGATCAAATTGTATACTTATTTAAATAAATAATAATTTAGATTTAAGGTAGAGTATATTTAAAATATAGGGTAAAGTATACCGATGGTCCTTTAGTTATAGGGTATTGTTTTATTAAGTCTCCCAACTATTAAAAGTTTTAGAATAGTCTCCCGACTATAATATGCTACTTTGGTGAGTCAATCGACTATTAAAAGTTACAAAATGGTCACTCGACTAGTCATATATTTCAAACCCGTCGTTTTCTATGTTAACCTGCTGATTGTGATATAATAAAATATGATCCTAGAATCTCAAACGACTATTATATTCATATCTTAATCATCATGTTAATGTCTAGCTCAGACGACCGCCAATTTTTAACGAAAAGTGGCGAGCTTGGAACATATGAATAGTCGAGTGACTATTTTGTTACTTTTAATAGTTGAGTGAGTCAACAAAGCAACACTCTATAGTTGGAGAAACATTTTGTAACTTTTAATAATCGATAGACTTAATAAAGTAATACCCTATAATCAATGACCATTTGTGTACTTTACCCTAAAATATATTGACTAATGTTTGGATATGAATGGTGATGACAAGAGGTCGGGTGGGGTCGAATTTTTGGTCAGTTCTACCCGACCCAAAAACATGTATTCTCCATCCCAACCTGTCCTTGTCTGAAAATTATATATATTTCACCTGACCCAACTCGAATATATATATATTCTGTTCGACCCGACCCGACTTGATATAAAATAAGAACTTAATTATTATTATTTTAAAGAAACTACATTATATCCTCGGGTCGGGTCAGGGTGAAGTTTTTTCACTCTCCACCTGACCTCAATCCCTTAAAAAATTCGAACCGACCTGACTGGAAGTCGATTTTTTTATAAAAATCAAGTTCAATCAAAACCCGTCCATTTCGGATTAAATTGTCACCCCTATATATGCAGAGTCCAAAGATCCCCTACTATTGATGTCTTTAGAACAACTAATCTAAAAGCATGCCACTAAAAAACAAAGAGCTTACAACGAGTTTGAAATTTATAACCAAAACAACTTTAGCCAAACGATCAGCCTCTGTATTGCATTCCCTAGGGACATGCTCAAACATTACAGCTTGCTAATACCATAAAAAATAATACAAAGACAAGGGAAAATACAAAACAAAACAAAGCAAAACCACTGTTTTCCCATACCAAGTTTGCTAATCAAGTGGTTTAATAAGCTGCTTCATACATCATTCATCATCAGTATCAACATAACCAAGAACCATTTTTATGCAGCTCCAATGAACAATATACTTGCATCTGTCGTCTCGACACTCGAGGGCTAGCTCTTGACACGGCTTCTGACAGATAACGCATCGAGGGTAGGAATAGATCTTCTTGACGAAAGTGAGTGGATGTGGATGATCCTTGTACGTGTACTTGCTTCCAGCCATGATAAATTGGTACTTTCCGATGACGCATTCGAAGTGCATGGCTTTGTCACAAGTTCCGCAATGATAGAACAATTTCTGTGGATCTCTTTCTTCTTCGCAGATGTCGCAGTAGTATCGTAGGGGATAGTCATCGGGATCTCGATAAGTAAGTGTCAAAGAATGTTGATCGCACTTGTGACGAGCGTCGCGTGGTAGCGTGACACATCTCCTATCCAAAGCAAATGTGCAATCCTTACATTGGAACATCCCTTCATTGTACCTTGAATCTTCACAACAACCATTGCACTTGCCTTCATACTTGTCATCAAAGAAGAGGAAATATGGCTTATCCGCTTGATATTCGAAACTGTGAGGTATTTTAGCACATCTGAGGCACATGCGATCGACGTCGTCATCCGATTTGTAAGAGAAACCATTGCACTCGTAACGACAGTGATTGCACCGAAAAACACCATCCGTGACAATGCTGAAGGGCTTTGCATAATGCCACGGTCGACACTTTCTCGGTAATTCGGCACATGCCTTGTCGAGAAAGAAATCACAATGTTCACAATAGTAAAATGATGATAGGATAGGTTGCACACACCCATTGCAAAATGTATTATCCTTGACCTCGTCCGAGAGTATCAAGCTGTGCTGATAATGACTAACGTGTTCTATCTCCGTAGCTATTACTTCGTCCCCGACATTGATTTCCTTGATCTTACGAACGATGCAACTCTTCAGTTCATACAACCAATCAGATGGCTCGACTTCGTCTGGATTTTCTACCTCAATCACACCATACAATGCCCACTTATCATAGACACACTTGACATGGATAACGAAATCGCAGCCTGACC